CACTCCCCATCATGAAACTTTCCTTGTGAGTTTATTTCTTCCTCGTTTTGTAACCTGAACCTTCCATTTCCTTGTAATGCCTTTATTACACCGCATATTACCAGTGTAAATTCTGGACAATTCCTGGAGTCTGAATTACATTCTAATCCATCATTCATGCCAAATCTCCAAACTCTTGCTCTGCTCTCAGTGTCTCTCATCCCGAAGTACCACCCTACCCACCTCATTTGCTGCTGTCTCTGATTTTGTGCTTATGCTGTAAAAGGATGCAAGGAGAGTCAGCTCCAATAAAGAAGAGAGAGCTTTGCAGTAACCTAGGCTAACAGAGGTACAGTTTTGAGAGAAAACCTTCTATGAATTACGGTTTTTCACTAAAAGAGGCAACACAACATATCTGTGATTTATTTTGAGTGAGATAGACATGTCACTGAATGGTAGCAATGGCCTATAGACTATCTCAGCTAACAATAAAACATGGAGGGAGAGAAATAGGACTAATTTTAAATGTCTTCCTGTAGGAGGATTTTTTCTATGCTCTTTCTAAACAATAAAAAGAGAAAGTAAAACTAAGGTATTAAGAAAGAAAGTAATCTTTGGCTTAAATGACACTGTCAGCCTGAAAATCACTATCAGAAATGAAAATGTTGCTGTTTAAATTACAGTTACTATTGGCTCGTAAAACTGCAAAGAATCATAGAAGAACCAAGGTTTGCCCTATGAAGCTCTTGGAATGAGATCATTACAAGAGATTTATTTTTACTTTTCTGGATATTGGATTACTCAAGCAGGTTGGATCACTATGTTAGTAACATGCTTTAAGCATTTAAAGTACAAAAAGTTCTAGAACAGGTAAAGGCAGAATAAATCCTCTATTTCCTCTTAAAAACTATTCCAGATTTATGAAATTCTGAGTTTCTTTGACAATCCTGAATCACAACTTTTAGCCTATGAAGTAAAGACTGTGTAATACTTACACAACCACACTATTAATACATGACTTTCTTCCTCCTCGTAACTTCAGAACTCATTGGCTGATTTTGATTTACACGCTGAAAACATTCTAACAGAGTTCCATAAAACAGACAGTCAGGAGAGGAAAGGTGAATCTACTAGTGCCTCCATTGAGAAAAAGGCTAATGTAGTCATCCTTCATCAGGCAACAGAGAAACCGTCAGTTTGGCTCTGCATGAAACTTCTTGTTTAACATCTCTTCACAAGACCATGTGAGACACAAAGCAGGTTTTGGTTTAATAGGCTTTGTCCATAGAAGTCTTCTGTACTACCAGAAAAATGTTGCCTGGCTACTAAGCAATTACCTGCAATATTAGAAATGACGTATTACAGAGCCAAAGGTAAGGCAGAGGGAGAAAGCTCAGAATCAAATAGGACAGCAGAAGTACAGATCCAACTTGACCTCAGCAAAAGAGCTTTCGTGAGAGTAGAATAATATAATAAAAATAGAAGGAAGGTCATTATTGTATTTTTTTTCTTAAATGGAAAGTTCTCCCTGGAAACACAAATACAAAAGTAATTAAACAGTCATGAGGCGCAGATAATCTAATGAGCAATAGGAGGGATAAAGTCAAGAGATACCAAAGAGAAGTCAAAATAAAGAATGAAAAGTCAGCAAGAAATGTTAGTTTCTTATTTCTTCTGTCAAGAATGTTAATTATTATTGTTAATTAAATGTTAATGGAAACGTAAATTGTCTCAGGTGTGGCACAATTTTCTGTTACTACACTGTGAGAAGCCTCACTTCTAAGTGAGGACAAGATCTCTTGTTAGAGCATCAGGATAAAAGTAGAGATGCTAACAAATCTCCAAACCTCCCAGTGTGATGCAGGACCTGAACACTCCAGACTTTCAATTCAAAAGCATGTCAATCCAACCAATTCCTTATTTACCCTTTCAGCTCCTTCTTCTTTTTCCTTTAAGCTCTGAAGCTGCTGCTGTAGCTGTTCATTTTCAGTGCACTTTGCTAGCAAGCACTGCTTAGCCTCCTTAAACTTCGACTCAAAAAATTCTCTTTCTTCTTTCTGCTTCTCTCGCCAGATGGAAAGCTCCTCATACCGGTCCTTCATAGCTTGGTTATGCAACTTCATGGCTTCTAAAAGATACCCAGAGACAAGACATGGATTCACATTAATCCTCTTGTCAATGAAACAGCAGATTTCCACTACACTCAGCTCAGCATTCCTCAGTATCAAATGGGTTAGCAATAATCGGGTATGAAATGCAAACCTCCTCGTGTACCTTAAATGCCAAACCAGAATTAAACATCTTATGCTATTAGCACTATAATAAATAGCATTAAATCCACTGCAGAAATCACAAGCCCACAATTCTTTCTCTTCTTGACTTATTCCTAAACCAAGAAGTATTCACAAGAGGCACTTGGTCGTTTGATCAACCCAAATGAAACTACTGAACTGAGATTCTGAAACTACTGAGACTTGGAAGGGATAACAGACATCCTAGACTGGTAAATGGAAACAGATGCTATCAAATCAAGTGTCTCAAATATGCCCAAGAATGCTCTACTTCAACATTTGGTTAAGGTAAAAAATATACCAAACAACTTACAGCAAAGTCAATTCTCCCTGGCTGGGAAAAAAGTCTGTATTGCAAAATGCTTACAAGAATCTTAGGAGGAGTCAATGCAAGTACTTCAGACTGGCTTTTTTTAGGGCAAGAAACTCAAAGCCAGTTATGTGAAAATCTTTTATACACCGTATTTTTCACTGACTTCCACTATGTCCCGATGTCATATTATACACTGCCAACAAAACCTTCAGGTTATGTAAATAAGCGTAGCTCAGGAGAATGATTCTGCAAAGCATGAGTTACAGCAGCTGTAAATATAGTCCCAAAACATTATCTCATACGATACAGGACCTTTTAGCAAAATACCAGAGATAGCTCTAGAAACAACTCTCCTGCCAGATACCCATGGGACTCTAAGGCAGAGAACATGGATGAGCTCCAAAGATAATTTAGGTGGAATTTAAACACTAGTGTAAAAACAAAATACACAAGATATGTGACTTCACAGCCATATAAACAGTGAGGTACCTCTGTCTTTTACACAGAAAATTCCCAGATCCCTTGGGCTCTATCCATTTAAAAAGGAAAAAATATTCACATGTGACATCTAAATTCCTGGGATCCAGAAACAAATCTATCTCACCTGCAAGACTCAAACCATCAGGCATTTTCAGGGAAACCTATCACTTTCTCCTAGATAGAGCCTGCCATGGACACCACTTCCTTTTGAAGTATAGAAGGCGCTGCCACATCTAAACATTCACAGTTGTTACTACACACAGTTCAGGGCCAGCTCCAATTGCCCTCTCTGCCCAAGGGGATGCAGCATCCTAACCCAGACTGTTCTGAGCATTGGACAGTACCCAGTCCTCCTGACACAGCTATGGCAAAATGTTAGTCTGTCTGCAATGGAGCTGCCCAACAGTCCTAAAATGCAAACCAAAAAAGCTTTTAGAGGTTGATGAGCAAAGAGCATATCGTAGCAGGAGATTTTTCTCCTCGCCTCCTAAAATAGACAGTGCTATACCGCTCATATATATAATTCTAAAGCAAGTCAGTCACCCATATATTGGGCTGTTCTCCTCCTAATCTTCCATACCAATTCAATTTGATGAGTCCTATCACTTAGCCTTGCCATTTACAGAGTTGTTTATACAGCAAATGCTACCCAGGTATAAAATGTTATCCAGCAAGGGCAAACAAGCACAGAATTCATACTCATAGGACAAAATAACACCCACAGAAGAAACTCAGGGCTTTTGCATTTCAAGACAAGTTCACATGAACCTTCACCTTTTAACTCATTGTTCTCAGTGATTAGTTCCTTCATCTGTTGTACCATCTCCTCTGGGGTGTAGGTACTAAGGGCAGGGGTAGCCACACTGTCTGTTCCATTCTCCATTTTTCTCTTGGGATGCTCTACATTTTCAGCAGGATGGCTCTTCAACTTGCTGGACATCTCTGAAGCATCTACTACAAGGTTTGCAGAGAAAACTCTTAATTTCTTGCCCACTGGACAGTGTCCCCACCTGTGGCAGGGGGATTGGAACTAGGTGAGCTTTAAAGTCCCTTCCAATTCAAGCCATTCTATGATTCCTTCATTTTATTAAGCAAGCCATACATCTTGTCATAATACAGTCACCCTCCAATGCCTCTGACCCCGCTACACCAGAGTATCTATGAGCCTCCATAACCCATTAAGGGCTGCATGACTAAAGCAACTGATCCCCGTGGTATCTCCAGTGATAACCTTCCTCGGGAGCCCTTTTCCCTGGGACTGAGGCACGGAGAAGCTCCCTCTCACCCACTGCCCCTCTCCCCTCAGCCGCCCTGGACGCGGCCTGGCAGTATGTCGGGAGCCGGCACTACCATCCCTGAGGAGACCGGTCTCCGCCCGGCCTTCACAGGGCCTGTGCCGCCGCCCCCCCGACGCAAAAAAAAAATACCATTTCCGCTCGTTTTTAACTTTCATTTTCGCTTTTTTGGCCCCTTTTCCCTTCTCCACCGCTCACCCGCCGCGGTACCGGCGGAGGCTGAGGCGCTCGTCCCTGCACATTCGCAACCCCTCCTCTTCCCCCGTGTAACCCCGGGAGCCGCAAACCCGCGTCTCCGCGCTCGCCCATCCGCAGGCCCACCCCAGATCCGCCGAGTCATGGGGCGAGCCCGCCCATAGAGACTGTAACGGGAACCAGAAGCCGCCCGCCATTCCCCCCCGCACCGGGCCCGCCTGAGGGGCTGCCCCCGCCGCCCACCGAGCGTCTCCCCTCTCACCCCCGTCACTGCACGCCCATGGCGCCGGCGGCCCGGCTCAGCTGACTGCCCGTCCCCGTCCCCGCCTCCTCCTCCTCCGCGGTGAGTTCCCCAGCTCCGCGCTCCCCGCCCACCGCGGTCAGGCTGCGGGCTCCCTCAGGTTGCGCTGTTTGCTCTCCGTTCCCTCACACCCACCCCAGTTCCCGGCCAGGGGAGCGGGAGAGGAGGCAGAACCCTCCAAGGAGGGGCAAGGTCTCTGTTGCTTGTGTAGTCCTTGGTACTGTGGGAAGCATGCTAGTGACAGGGGTAAAACCGTGTGCTTCCACAGGAGAAGATTAGAGGGTATGGTAGAGGAAAGCTGTGTCAAGAGGGATGACTGGGAAAGGCTTCTTGTTGCACAAGGCCTAGATGGGATCAGGTGGAGGGTTTGAGGCAAATGAAAGGTAACCCCTTCAAGGGCTCTAAGGCATAGTCATAGAGGCATGAGATGGTTTGGTTTGGAAGGGACCTTAGAGCTCACCCAGTTCCAACCCCCTGCCATGGGCAGGGACACCTTCCACTAGAGCAGGTTGCTCCAAGCCCCTGTGTCCAACCTGGCCTTGAACACTGCCAGGGATGGGGCAGGCACAGCTTCTTTGGGCACCCTGTGCCAGTGCCTCAGCACCCTCATGGTAAAGAATCTCTTCCTAATATCTAATCTAAATCTCCCCTCTGTCAGGTACATGACCTTAAAAGAAGCCCCTCGCCAGATTTCTTGTCAGCCTTTTTAGGCACTGGAAGCTGCTCTAAGGTCTCCCCAGAGCCTTCTCCAGGCTGAGCAATAATGATGTTTTAGTGATTATTGCCACAGGATCAAATCCATTAGGATGGCATTTGTCACACTATGAGGATGTAGCCCATTAATGCTTAGCAAACAACAGAGCTGGATGTGGTGTCTGGCCCAGGAAGTCTTTAAATGTTTGGTTCCCAGGGATGGGGTTAGTTGGGGCAGCTCATGCTGAACAGTTCCAGTGGCTGGTGACTGTGTTCAGCAGGATGCTGGGCTGGAAGTACCTCATTGTACCTGTTCTTAAGTAATAGGGCCAACTATGATATTTTTGTTCCTTTTCAGTGGAAAAAAATGCCAATTAGCCAAAATGTCAGCTTCCCATGTAGAAAATACCAATCTTTCATTAAACAACTACACAGCTTGAAGGTAAACGCTTTTGATTTGAAGATGCTGCTATGATATGAAACTGCTGTTTGATGAAATAGTACCTTTCTGAGGACTGGTGTTCCCAGCTGCCCTTCAAGCACTGCAGCCACAAGGGAGAGAAGAGAGGTGCACAGTGGATGCTAGCAGGGAGCAATCCTATCACAACTCACGAACTTCAGCATTCAAACTGAAGGTGCAGGTTACAAATCCCCCTAGAAATGAAACCACCTGTTTGGTAGGCAACAGGTCTGATAGCATATTTATGCATGCTGAGCCCATAATCCACGTGCTTTCTGCTTACACTGCCAGCAAATGGAATCTGGCTCCTTGTAGGTATGCTGAGAACTTTCCTTGAGGGAGTGTGATCTCTGAATTACTGTCGTGTCCCGTCACTGCATCTATGGCCAGTGTGTTAGGAGTATATGGGAGTTAGAAGGGCAATAAAAAGAGCTTCTCTGAGAGTGAGGAACAGAAATGCTAGCAGCTCATCATGGCTTTTTATTTGAGCTCTGAGCTCACTTCTTGCAAACTGCAGGACCTTACTGCATGTGCTGCACAGGCAAAAGCAACAAAGATCAACTGAGTTTTACTTGTCAGAGGAAGTTAAAGAAATATTTGCTATTTTATTACACTTCTGGTAGCTGTTTGCTCCCACTGTAATTCCAGATCTGCTTTAAGTACCCAGAATGAATTTTTGAGAACAGATCTTATTTAGACAGTAAATATCCAAGTTCTGGGGGAGCAGTTCAGCATTTTCATGTGTACCGCACTGCCAATAAGCTCTGTGTATCTCACAGTTCTTTAAAGAGATCCAAATGCAAAAACAGTCCTTAGTTGCAGTTGTAAAGTGGAGGGAATCAAAAGCGGTGTATCCGATTCTAATTGGAATGAAACAGTTTGCTTTTTAAAAGCCAAAGAAAAATCCTTGTAGCTCAGGGAAGTAGAGAAATAACCAAAAACTAAAAGGGACGAGTCAATTATTTTATGTAAAAGGAAAAATTGCTCCTGTCTAAGGAACATTAAAGTGTGCTCACTAAACTCTTGTTACACATGAGCCCTGTGGGAATACAACAGAGAAGACAATTGTTTGGACCCACCTAATTTATTCACATCATTTTTTTTCTCTCATGAGATGAATTTGGTTTGTCCAAGTAGGGGTGGAGTGTGTTGGCTTAGTGAAGGAAGGAGACTTCTGTTCTAACTCTCCTGGTGAGTGGTTTGAGCTGCTGAGCTATGAGTAGCTCATCTATCTATGCTGTACTGCACAGATGGTAAATATTTGGAGGTAAGTGGTATAAATGTTTCTAGCTTTCCCCATGCTGCTCCCTAACATTTGTTTGCAAAAATAGACTGAGGTCTGAGGGCTCAGATTCAGTGAAATTACTTAAGAAATTCCCTTGCAGCAGCTGAGCCATGAAAACAGTCCTTTGTGTACACCCTTACTCCCTAGTGAATATGAGATAATGCAGCTTAGCTTAGTCTGAAATGATGACGGGTTGCACTGAATTATCTTCACATCACTGTGGGCTAACAGCTTGGATCCTGTTTTTACAGTTGTCCAGCAGCTGAACCCTGAGAATCAAACAAAGCTGGGACAAAGGCTTGAACTTCAGAAAGCTTTGATATGAAGGACCTCTCTCTGTGTATATCTGTATGTACATACACACAGGTCTTATGTTTTATCCATCTGTCTATCTGTTTTATATTATGTGGAACTCATGCTGCCTTTGATTCTCTTATGTTGGCCCTGTTTGTCCTGTCTTTCTAGTCTCAGCGTTGCTTTCTTGTTTCTGCCTGTTGCTGTGGTAGCTGCTGGAAACTCCTGATTTTGGCCAGGATCCTGTAGATACCATACAGATATAGTCCAAAGACTGACTTCTCTCTCAGGACACTATGAATGCACACCACACCAGTCTGGATTGCTTCTTCTGAGCAGCTCAGGTTCCTAAACAGACTGTTCTGCCCACAGAGGTATCTACAGGTCTGAGGAAGGTCTACTACCCTTGATTAATACCCAGGCTTCTTGCCAACTGGATAGATACTGGAGTGTTTGCTGCGGTTTCAAATTTGCTGATGAAGCTTAATTTCCAGTTGATATGTAATTTGAAAACACCATGAAGATATGTTCTTTGCAGGCTTAAGTGGGGGAGAGGGGGTGTTATGAAGTGCATCCAACTTCTGCAGTCAGCAGTACTGTGTGATGAATGTCACCATAACCTAGAGAGAAGATAATGAAATGTATTAATTTCTTCCAACAGTTAAATGCTACCAATGGCCTGGAGAGCGCTCAGAGATAGTTGGTAAAATTTACATTAAGCAGTGTCAGGTCTTAGATTATCATCTACAGTAAAACAACTACAAAGAGCAGGAAAGTAGATGTATGTTCTGAATGTTTATCTGCCATTTACAGAGGGTGTGATATGTTAAATCTAGGACTGTCACGGATTTTTGATTATCAGTCTAGTATGGAACCTACTGCTATTGATACTGTTAGCTCAAAAGGGAGAATTTTCAGATGTGAAGTCCAGGAAGCCAAGAGATTACAGAAATAAAATAGCAGAAAATGTGTCCCAAGATCATGTTTTCAATCTGATAACCTTGTTGTGGGCATAATATGTGAAGCAAAGGTCGTGCCAAAGAATGTATCTAATTGGTTTTGGCCTATACTGCACAGTTTAATATGGTGTGTCATTATCCCTCCAATGTACAGCTGAATAGATAACTTATTTTACATCTGCAATTATGTAACTGCCTGTGCAATGACATGAAGAAGCTCTAGTGCAGCTTTTAGATGATCTAATTTGGAGCTTGCTTCTATGTAGAGAGATTGTAATGTAATGGTTTTCCTTTTCAAATTTTACCTTCCAAAAAAGAGTTGCAGTTTGATTGTGGTGAGTTGCTAGAATTCCTCACCAGGAGCTCTGATTTCTTTCTTGAAACAAATTCATTCCATCACCAGTCATCTATAATGTTTTATTTTCTAATAAACATAGTGATTGGAGTCAAACTGGCAAAAATGTCTCCACTTACTGTCAGTCTAGCAAGAGCAGCAGCCGTGAAAAGTACTCTATGCTATTTCCTCTAGGTACATGGCCCTGTGTTGGAAGCCCTGACGATTTAGATTAGATATTAGGCAGAAGTTCTTCCCTGTGAGGGTGCTGAAGCGCTGGCACAGGGTGCCCAGAGAAGCTGTGGCTGCCCCATCCCTGGCAGTGTTCAAGTCCAGGTTGGACAGGGCTTTGGAGCAACCTGCTCTAGCGGAAGGTGTCCCTGCCTGTGGCAGGGGATTGGAACTGGATGATCTTTAAGGTCCCTTCCAACTCAAACCATTCTGTGATTCTGTGATTCTATGACAAAGCGCTTTTGTGCCTGTCAGTGAGATGCTTTAGACTTTTCTCTGGGAAGAAGAGAAAAATATTAACCTAAAGTCTGGTGGTTTAGTGATTCTGTCTCTGGCAGTTCAGAAGAGATGACCCGACTTATGACTGCAGAATAGCTGCTACTGCTGGTACTGTAGGATTTTTGTTTGGGCTGTCTTCTCCTTTCTTGCCCACTCAAAGGATATTGGTGTCCACTCAGGAAGCAGTATGTTACACTCAAGAGTTGCCATGCCAGCAGGTGCTGCTTTTTCTGTATTTATACCTTTGATGACAAAGGGAAGGGAAAAATAAAATGGATAAGTGTGCAGAAAAGCTAGAAGCCAAAACTGACGACTGTCCTTGTTTTCTCTTTCCAACAGATGGCACCAATTCTCTTTCCAGATCTTCTCTGGTCAAACAGGTCGGGAGTTCCAGAATACCTCAAGCTGTTTAAAAACACTGGCATCTTTGCCCTTTTCTTTTGCTCTTTCTGAGTGTGAAATTTGGACCAAGAAGGCAGCAGACTGAGAAAATGTCTGAATCCCTTGGAATGTGGCACTGCTGCCAAGTACAGCCATGCCAGGAAAACACAGGCAGATCAACCAGCAAATGTGACCCAGGGCTAGGAGTTGAGGGAAAGGAGGTTTACTTTTGCCCAAGGATGGTCAAAAGTAAAAGTGGGACTATTTTAGGGACTTATTGAGAAGGAATTGGAGAACCATGGAGAGAGGAGAATGAAACATGGGGATTCCAGGGAAGATGGAGAAGTCTTGGGTAGCCAAAGAGCAATGACAGTCCACCTTGTTGAGGGAGAGCGGTGGTCTGTCCAGCTCAGCACACTCCCCTTGGAAGAAGGCACTCCTCAATGTTTCCTTGTAGGGGAGATCTGCAGTGCTTCTATAAAGTTGCAAGAGGAAATTAAGCCAGAACAGGGCCGAGGAAGCCTCTATTCTGAAATCACCATGGCAAAAATCTCTTGCAGATAATACAGTTTTCTTTATCCTCAAATGCACCCTTGTTCGTCATTAGAAGGGAACATATTCTGCAGCTCTGTGCCACCATATGGGCCATGGGGAGAGATGAGCCAGGCTCCCATCGTGCATTATAACATAAAGGAAACATTGCTTCCTGGCTGCAAAGGGATGGTCAAAACAAAAACACATGGGTAGAAGCGTAACACTATTTTAAAAGGCATAACTCTGAATAAAGCCTGGAGGCAAATGGATTCCTCATGTATTTTGCTACTTAAATTCTTTTGAAAATCCCCTTCTAATATTTTTAGTTTGACATGCCTCTTATTTTGTTTTTTACCTCAAATACCTTGCTATGATTTTTGGTTGAAGGGCTCTTTGACTCCACAAGCTGCTTTCCTACTAAGTATAGGAAATATCACTTCTGGTGGGTTGTGTAAGTGCGCTCAGCACTAGTTCCCTTTTTACACAATCTGGAGGAGGGAAGTACTGGATTCATCATGAATTGAGCTGCACTAGCCTTTTTGATAGGATGCAGCAAAGACCATGTCAAGTGTTACAAGCCACAAAGAGAACAATAACAGCAACATTATGGAGGTTGTGACAGTACAGAGTTTCCCAATGAAACACCCTCATGGTGTAGTCTGGGGCATCTTCTGGCTCTAGAAGCCATGAGCAGTCAACTGAACTCCAGAGGGCATGGGATCACATCCTCATCCTGCTTTTGAGATCCTGGGGCTGCTACTGAGTGGAAATGAGGCTTGCATGCACATCTCAAACTGAAGTATTTGTCTGATCACTTATCATGTGTTTCAGCCTTGGCTTATCTCTGTGAGGAGTGCAGGAATACCCCGGCATACTTGGGAATAGACTTCCTGCAAGGAAGCTTTAAGTGCAGTTTATATGGTATTTAAGCTTGTGTAAGATAATGCTGCCATTGAAAGGAATGCAGGTGAGGACATGCAGATCAGAGCAAACCAGAGCAGAAGTTTTACCTGTTTTTACCTAAATCAGTTTCCATTGTGCTGGCTCACCACATGCTCGCACAACTGGAAGACTATGAATGGCTTCTGGACTGGTTGGACTGGTCTAGAGGAGGGTCATGATATCAGAGGGCTGGAAGGCTGAGAGAGCTGGGTTTATTCAGCTTGGAGAAGAGAAAGTTCCGGGGAGACCTTAGAGCAGCTCCCAGTGCCTAAAGTGGGGGTTGTAAGAAGGATGGAGAGGTGCTTTTTACCAGGACCTGTAGTGATAGGACAAGGGGCAAGAGTTTCAAAGTGAAAGAGGGTAGGTTCAGGTTGGGTATAAGGAAGAAATTATTCACTATGAGGGTGGGGAGGCCCTGGAACAGTTTGTCTACAGAAGTGCAGCTACCCCATCCCGGGCAGTGTTGAAAGCCAGGTTGGATGGGGCTTGGAGCAACCTGGTGTAGTGGAAGGTGTCCCTGCCCGTGGCAGCATAAACTCTTCATGAAACTACAGTGTCTTTGAGAACCTCAAATCCCAAGGCAGAGAGAGCTCATGGGATCAAGAAAGGATGCTACCATCACAGAGACTTCTGTGAGAGGCCTTCAATGGACATCTGCTCTGCAGACCACAGAGAGGTACCCAGCTCTCAGTGATTCCTGGATCCCAGAGGGGTGCCAGCCCTGGCTGCTCAGTGCTTCTGCTCTGCCTCCCGGGCACAACGGGGGCAAAACAGCAGTCATCCTCTGCAAAACAGGCCAGAAATCCAGAGCCTGCCATTGCACTGGGAGAGTGGTGGATACTGGGAAGAATCTGGTTTGCAAGAAAAAGAAAAGATTTTTTTTTTTTCCGAGGCTATTCAAGGCAGTACGAACACAGACTTGACATTTTGGCGGAAAACAAACTGCTTTTCAGACAGCTGAGGGCGCTCAGCGCTTTTTGAGTGAAGTTGGTGTTTGTGCTGTCAGAAACAGCACTCGCGCACTGATGATTGCATCAAAAGTAGTGCTGCTCGTGAGCAAAGCCCGGACAGGGGCTTAGGCTCTAATATTGCCAACAACTAACAAATAAAAGGCCCAGAGCTGGTTAAATAGCTGCTTATGTGCTTCAGTGCAAGCATAAATTTAGTGCCTTAATGACACCTGAAAAGATCTCTTTGATCACAGATTTCCCCTTCTGAAGCAGCAGGGGTTTATTTATTCATTGCAATTTCAAGTACCTCCATAAAAGTAGAAAAATGGAGAAAGACAATAGCCTAATATACCTGGATGTTTGTGTCTTGACCATCTTCCTGCAGTTTTCTCTCTTCCTGGTTTTATCCGTATCTTTAGGATCTGCTTTTTGGTATCTTTGCCAGAATCGCCATCTATACCTATCCTGAATTTCCCGAGAAAAGGACCTCTGTTATGGTGGGTTCTGTTTTGTGGGCATGTCTGTTCAGTTATGGAAAGGAATACTTTGATCTCATTTCACCCAAACCATGTTACATTATTGTTTTTAGGGATTTTTGATAGAAAGCAGATTTCTCTGGGTTCCTACTTATCTTCCATTGATTTGTGTGGCTTATTCAAACTTCTTAAAATCCTTATGTGATTTGTGTTTATTCACCACTCTTTATTAACAAAACCTTTATTCCTTAGTGCTTCTAAAGCTACTTAGGACATGAAACAATGCTTCTGATTTGTTAACTGTTACTATTATCACCAGTGGTATGACTGAAAATCAGTGCATTTAGCTGAAATACACTTAATACATACAGTTAGTTTATTTAAGTCATGTAATTACTGCTACTAATATCTTGTTTAGTTGGGTACCTCATGTCCATGAAAAGAAAGATTAGTCTCGTTATCATGGCAATGATGTCTATATTTGTTTCAGCTCTAGAGGGACATCTTGGCTTAGAAAGTTAAGGATTTTTATGTCAGTCAATTGCCCTGTTTTTCATCCACAGAGACTTTGATTCGGGTTTTCAGGCGCTGATAACTGAATTAAAGTACCTGTTACTTGCAAGGCCAGTTGACATCAGGCATGTAGCTCATTTGTCTTAGGTACTTGTGTGCATGGTGAATTCCTCCATCTTAATTTAGGGTTCGTGTATGACAATGTGGCTGTAATAGTGCTTCCTAACTCCAGCTGTGCAGAGCCTCATACATAGCATGGGCTTCCTCAATTGCTTTGTTTAGGTGCCTTGGCACCTAAGACTATGTTGTGTCATGGAACAAATGTCTTCTCTTTGTCTTCCATGATGGCATGGGGCCTTTAGATGGGATTTCACTTTCACCCCTGAGGTTGGCTCCTGAGCTACCTGACTCCATGGTTTCCCCACTGAGGATTGAAGCACAGTGCTGCGGAGAAATGGCAAAGCATTCCTTTCTTGTCCTGATGCTCTCTTTGCTGAGAAAACATAATTTCCCAATACTTACAATCTGGAATTCCCAACACATGTCAGTATTTCCAATGAGATAAAAAATGGCTTTGGCAACATGTAAGTTCCTCATATCACAGCCAGGCAGCACAGCAACCATTTATTTTCTCCCCAGAAGGACGTACCTGTATATTGAAGGGAGAAACATTGGTGCATACAGAAAACAGGTCCAGCTTCCTGATGAGAGGCAGACTGAGACACACATGTGAGATTCTTTGTGGAATCCTGTTTCTGCATGTCAGCCCTACTGGGGGTGATCCAGACTGGGTTTCTCAAGGGATAGCCTGTGGATGCTACAGAAATCTCAGGTATCTCCTACTTAATATGTTGTCTGTCTTTGGCCTTCAGGTGCTGTAGGCACCAGAGAGCTGTTTGAAGGGCATCCACTTCTGTGCAGTTCAGCATCCCACAAGTGTGACCCATGAGGACTGTGAGATGCTAGAACACAAGACAGAGGCATTTTATCCCTTCTGCCAGCCTTTCTGTCTCCGTCCACAGCACTGATATTCTCTTTTCAGGCAGGACCAGATCCAGGTAGGGTTAATGGCTGGAGGCTCAGTAAGCAGACATCCTCAGCCACTCCACTGGAGCCAGACTGTGCTACCCTTGTTAATGGCAAGCTAGGGAGGGGATGGATGCCACAGACAGCCACCACTCTAAATCCCTGCTGCTTTCAAAAGTGAGAGCCAGCCCAAGGAACAAAGCAGATGAGGGAGCAGACTTTATAATCAGGTTTACAAGTTGATCAATTATTATCATAGCTGCAATGAGCTAGTTACAGAGATGAGAACAAGCTGATGTTATGGAAAGGCAGCTATAAAAACTGTGTTTCCAGACATGCTGAGTTCTGTGAGAACAGAGAACCTATTAAAAGATCTTGTTAACGCATAGGTTGGGTTAAAGCTGATGTTTGCTTTATTCTTCCCCTCTTCGTCATTTACTTGTTCCCTTGCTTTCTTGTCTAAAGAAATGTTGTTTTCTTTGGGTAGATTATTGGAGAACATAGTGTACAGGAGGTTTACTTCTGTTTGCTCAGCTCCCCTGAGGTGAACAGAGTTGTACAAGACATGATGCAGACCTGAATTGGACCCCAGGCAGCTTCTTTGTGGTCACTCCTGTGGTGCTCACTGTTTCACTTGCAGACATCTCTTTTATCTCTTTCCTTCCTCCCTCACTGCTCAATACTTCTGGCTGGCCATTGGGCAAGAGGGTACAAAGGAGAAAGGGGTACCTGGCCTCAACTGTGTGCCCTGCAGAGAAAGAAAAGTCAGGCTTATTTGATTGCATTACATCATAGTTTCTGTCTACTAAAAGGGGGTATTTATGCAGGAGACACTGAAGGGGGAAGGAAATGTCATGATTTTTAGGGACCTGGTCTTGCTGAAGGGTTTTGATACTCATTTAAGATACTGTTGGTTTGACATATTATTTTTACCTTATGCATTAATTAGCACGGCAATGTCAGAGTAGGGCTCAAATGACAAAGTTCATACCCAGGTCTCATTGCTTTGGCCTAGCCTGTTGCCCAGGGAAGGGACCTGTGACAAAACCTGAATCAAGCCCAAGGTCAAATATCACTAAGACCTGGCACCATTGCCAGCAGGGTTTCTGTTTAAGGGATTGCTTTTACTTGCAGTGTTTTCTGCAGTGCATCACTAGAGGATCTGGGTTCCCCTTGATAGCATGGTCAAACCCTATTGATCTGTACATGGCCACTTCCGCAAAGATTTTTCCTTCACCTGGTCACTTTTCGTTTATAGGCTGTGCTCTGGGTGGGGTTTTAGTACAAATCTCTTTAAAAGGCCTACCCAAGGCCAAAGCTGAGCTCTAACACAGCTGCTGCTGGAGTCCCACCTGGACATGGTGGGTTTGGGCAGTAGTAAGTGTATCCCAGAGCAGAGACACCATGTTGGAGGGTACTTTAGGGTCCTGGAGGATTTTGTGTGGAATATCTAAACTGTGGGGTGGTTTAGGGCTGGGGTGGGGAGACCTCATGAAGGTAAATGTCTTAAGAGGTATTTTCTTTGCTTAATTCTTTGGAAGCAAGTGGTCATCTAAGATTTTGGACTGCCTGAGACTGTAGCCAGTAAAGTAGATTTTGGGATTGAGGGGAGAAGACCATGTTTGAGAATGAGGGCTGGGCTAATGCATTACTTTGGTTTTGTAACTTGTTTTTCATGTAAGGATTTCAGTGCAATATCTATGTACCAAATCTCAAAGAGCTTCCTAGATTACAGGCAGCTCATGTAAAGGTACCATTTGCCCAAAGCCGTTACCCCAAAACACATAATCCTTGAACTGGGAAAGTAAAATTATGTTGAGTGAAAGTAACTAGAGGAATTTGAGAAGGGAAAAAGAACTTCTGTGGGAATGACTTTTCACAGGTTAACATTATTCATGGGCCACTTGGATTTTAGATGACTGAACCATGTTGGAAGCAGATGCTGTTTTCTTGTTCCTTTGCTTGCCACTTCCATTTTTCAGCACTTGTTTGTGACTAAGCTCAGGGAAGTGAAATCAATAGTGCTTCAACATTAGTAATTGAACAAAGCAGGTAACCAGCTGAGTAAACCCCATCTCACTTGAAATCAGAGTAGTTACTTCTTAGCTTGAGCTAACATAGCTGAGAATTAGGTGAAGACTGAGGTGGAAAATGGGATAAAACCACCCAAATAAATAAATAAGAAAAGCCAAACAGCCTGCTCCTCCTCTGTGCTAATCTGTCATTGCTCTTACCAAAAGAGCATCAGAAGTGAATAAGGATTCCTCTCTCGAATCATTCAGTATCGGGGTGCAATCAGGCAGAATGGTTTGAAAGCATTGTTTGTAGGAATGAACTCTCCAGGGGTCTGAGTGCTATTTCCAGGTTTCATCCTAAAGCTTAAATGATGCACTTATTGAGAGCTGATCATATAAAATACATGAAGAAGAAAACAGCCTGACAAAGAACAGCTTTTAACTTAGGGAATGAAAAAAAGAAAGGCAATAAACACACTACTGGAGGCATTTCTGAAGGGCATTTGGATGCTCTTGAAACTAGAATATGACATTCCAGAGCATCCCCTCGCTGAAATGCTGTTGTCTGTGGAAAAGACTGCAATAAACTTCTAACACCCTTGGTGAAATCACACAGTGGTTAAGGGAGAGGGTCTCTTACTCCCAGTTAACCTTTGAGAAGGGATGCAGTAGGATGGCATGCGAGATTGTCATACCACCCCAGTGGCTTTTGCTGTTTGCAGATGGAAGTTGGTGTATTCTTTGAAAGGGCAGGGTTTGGGAATCTCTAGATCAAATCCACTTATAAATATTGAGAACAGGGGGCTTCTCTGAGGGATAGTAATGTTTTAATGGGGTAAACTGCCTACTGATAGACTTGTCAGTAAAGGCATAAATCATATCTGAGACATCAGGATATAGCCAGCAAAGAAATCCAGTGAGGATTAATGCCAAGATGTCATAAATCCAGGAGATGCATGATAGCATCACTGTGGAGCCAACAGACACAAAATGCAGACCCTCTTTCCTTCATGGCGTCTCCAGGGATCCTTCTGCAGAGTGTTCAGGAAAAGTGCTCTGAATCCTAAGCAGTATGAAGAGGCAGACAGCCTCACTGAAAGGTGTTTAAATACTGCCAAGGGATGGGAGCATCCACCAGGATGGTGCTCTGGGATGATGCTGAACACTCACTGTATCAGCACTTTTGGGTACTATGTTGTGGACAAGCCGTGTAATGCACCAAGGATAATGATTCCATTAAGAATTGTGTGCCATTTCTATAAGGAAAAAGAATTACATGTAATTTCTACAGGAGAATAAAGAAAACCTCTGTAATGGAGTGTGCAGGAATCCCACCACTGTGTATCAAGGCTTTCTTTAAACGGAAAACACAAGCTGCAGTTGTAGACCCAGTTTGTAGTTTGGATGAAGACTGTAAGAGTCAGTTTCCAGCAGGTGCAGCTAATGCTGCATTTCAGCAGGGTGGAGTTTGCAGCCTTTCTCCCAAACAGCAGAGTAGGATCAAAGCCTTCATTTTCATGGCTTTCAATGGCCTGCAGCACAACAAGAGCTGCAACACGAAGAGATTGTGATGTTCAGAAGCCATCAAAAGCTTTGCTGCGCAGGGCCCATTTGTATCTCCTCTCCTAGCTCTGTCTTTCCTCACTGTCTCTCTATGCAGCAGCTGACAGCATGTGTGAATCCGGGAACAGCCCTGCAGAGCCAGGGGAAACCCAGGAGGCAATTAATTCATCTTGAAACAGCACAGCTTTAAACAGTCACCAGTGACCTGGAGTTTCTGTACAGAGAGTTTAAGTAATTGTGCTGCCAACTTGCCACCAGGGCTGGGATTTCATGAACAATTTTGGGTTTTTGCAATGAGGAGCAGTTTGCCAAATATTGCCTTTAAATATGTCAGTGAAGGAGCAATTGCATGGCTCTCCACTTCAGCAAGCACTTCTGGTCTCATGGGCTCTCTCCATCACCCTCTGAGACCCAAGTGACTCCAGCAGAGGGTGGGAAAGAAGCTCCAACAATGGACATGAGGGCCAGAGGAAAGAACAGAAGAGTAGAGGCTTTTTTGTCCCTGATATTCCACTCAGGTGTGTGCAGACTGGAGGTGTACGGCTGGGGTGAAAAATAAGACCATATAACATGATTCAGCTGATCCCAAACAAAAGTTAGGGAGGAGGAACTCCTACCTGAGTAGAGAATCTTCCCAGGGGATTTCCCCTGGCCACCTTTCAAAGCTCTGGCTGCTCTGTGACCTGTGAGGCATTTGTTAGGTTTGGATTTTCTTCCCCCCCCCCCTTTCTTTTCCTTTTTCAGTTCTTATCTGTTTTGTTTCTTAAAGAATGACATCCTGGCCCCTAGCATTTCTAGAGGCAACACTCACATTCCTTGCAGCTCTGTGTTAGCAAAAAGACATAAAATGTTCCTCGTAATTACACATGATTTGATCATTCCAGCATTTCCGCCTCTTCCCAGAGGTTTTATTATAATAATTAATTTCTGTGGCACCTCCTTGCAGCTCTAGGCATTTTCCTAAACCTTTAAACACACATTTAGCAGTTCTGAACACTTCACTGCTGTATTTCTTTCCCTCTATTTGCTAGTTATAAATTCTTTGTTCATAGTCTTTCCTACAACTTGAGCATTATTCATGTAGTCCCCATTATTGTAGTACTGTGATACTCCAGGATCTCTGCTTCACCATGCCACTGTGATCAAAGAAAATGCTGTTATCCCTAGTTACACATGGGAATCTGCGATACAGTGGGACTCATGTTTTTAAGGATTTTAAGCCCAGAGTGTCACAGGAGGTCAGTGGCAGAAAAAGGAATTACACTCTGGTGTCCTGATTCCAAGTCCCAACTGGACCAGCTTGGTTTTGTTGTCTTTGAGTGCATTTCTATTTCAACATTCTGCAATTTCCAATCCATGAAGGCCTCCTCACTTTCTCAAATGCCTTTAAGGAAAGGTGAACAAAGAGGAAAGTGATTTAAGAGCCAACAACTCCTCTCAGGAAATTGTCTTCTAGCAGTTCTGGATATTGGATAGAAAAAGATCTTTTGCTAAAGAGAGATCTGAACCCTGATCTGAACCGTGGAGTATTAATCATATCATGTATTCATCATATCTATGTATGATAGCACTTGTCCATAGTAAATTTCTTGGATCTCAGGGGCAGTGCCGCATTAAAAATATGGACTCAGTCAGAGATCAGTGTGATCAGACCAAAGTCATTTATTACATAGCATCAATCCTTTTTATACTGTTTCTCTGTATCTGCTTACAATAGCTTGCTGTGTTATAGTCGGGTATGTTTATTATAATCAGATACATTTTCTTGTAACACACAGCAACTACGGTTACATTTACAATAGCTCGCTGTATAATATTTGGATACATCTACAATTGCTCACTGTAGTATAATTAGATACATATTCAATAGTTTGTTGTATTATGATTGGAGACATATACAATAGCTTAGTATATTATACTTTGATACATATTCTTTCAGCACACAGCAACTAGTAACAATCAAATAAGCGTATGAGGACTTAGCCTTTCAAATTTGCTAACAGTCCACTATTTTGTATCTTAGCACAGTCCAGTTTCTTCTTATCTTGCTTGCACTGTTACTTTTGCTTCTTTACCCACATCCTCCTTCATTCGGTTCATGTTGAGTTCCACGTAGGCACTTGCTGACTTGGGAATGTGGCCATTCTTTGCTAAAAATCCATCCACAGGGCAGAATGTAAGAGAGGTGATCTCAAATAATGTTGGGTTTTAACAACTAACCCAACTCATTAAAAACCTCAGTTTCAGCCTCCTGCTGATTTCAGTGAGGGCTGGTAGATTATCCAAGCACAATCCAGCACAACTGTTGGTATGATTCAGTGTGATCCATCAATCATCACGCAACAGGCAGAGCTGTACATTAGCCTGAACTTCTGCATGTCCCCAGGCACAGCCATGCACTATGGTGGTGGAATTCATTCTAGCTCTGTCATTACCAGTTAATTGCATAGGCTGTAAAAATGTCATGAATTCTGACGTTTCATCTCTTTAAACCCAACCCCATGTAACCCTCCTGCCACAACTCACAAGACCCACAGGTATCCTCAATCTGGAGTCAAGCCACCCATGGCTTGTTTGCTGGAATCGGAATGGCAGCCCCAGAAGCAAAGCTGCTAAAATCTTGCCCTTTGTCAGACAGAAGCTGAGCCAAAAGTCATGTTTCAGCCTATGCAGAACTTGGCCAAGCCTTCTTATTAATTTGGCTTCCAACAAAAGCAGCACAGCACTGAAATGCAAAACTGCCCCGGTGGGTAAACTGGTTTCCCTGTACTGTCAGGTTATAGCTAAATAGATTAAAGCTGTTTTTCACCTGAACATGAGGAAGAGCTTACTTACCTTGAGGGCAGCTGGGCATTGGAATAGGTTGCCCAGAGAGGCTGTGGAGTCTCCTTTCCTGGAAATGTTTAAGAGCTGTCTGAACACAATCCTAAGCAATGCTGTAGGTGATCCTGCTTGAGCAGGCAGATTGGGTGACTTCCAGTTGTCCCTTCCAACCTCAACCATTATGTACTTCAGCGGTTCAGTGTTTCTGCCCTGGTGTGGGCAGGATGTCAGAGCAAGAGCTGGATCTCCAGGCTCAGCGCTGAGTCTTGGGGTGGTTCAGGATGAGAAAGTGGTGAGCAGTCCATTGAGTTTTCCTGTCCCATCAGGTTGTGCTCCCAAGACGGTCACAGGAGAGAAGTGGTCACCAAGGCCATCAAGCCTGGAAAGAGCAGCTTGCCAGGCTTAGACGCTGTGACTGGTGGTGCCCAACAGCATCCTAATGATTTCACTTTATTTACTGCAAATGTATTTTCTCCAATGAACTTAAACAAAGGCAGACTGAAAAAAAGAGGACTTCAAAGCATTTAACTTACACTACTGAAGATATATGTCTGCACCAGTCTGTGTCAGCGAAGATATATTCAGCAAACCTTATCTCTGCAGGGTAAAGCCTGATAAAGGTCTAATTGCCTGAGAAACGCACAGCCCTTGGGACTGCAGTTGCAAAAGCAATTTCCTTCTTTACAGTGGAGCCTTAACTAAAACCCCTCCTGCTTAATGAGAGCATGAATAATTAAGGGACAAGGGTAGGGGGATGGAGCTGCGGCCAGCCGGGGTCTGCATGGGGTGGCTGGGGGCAAGCAGGGGCCCAGGCAGGTCAGAGGCTTTCTGTGCTATATCCCTGCCTGTGTGGGGTGTCATGCATGCCCCTGATGTGGGTGGCTCACCTTCCTTACATCCATCTCAGGGCAGCCCTTGCCCCCAGGCTTCCCTGGTGCTGTCAGTCCTCCTGAGGTGTAACCAGGGCATCTCCAATGATGGGCCCCACCAAAGGTGATCACAGCCACCAGGACTGCCTAAGATCGTTGCAGCAATGTCTGGCCACTTGTCACCGAAGCGTTTGTGGGTGGAAGTGAATGGATTGAGAAGTGTTTGTAAGAACAGTGTTTCTTTGTTTCATGTAAAAGAGCCAAGTTTAATGCAGGATACAAAGCTGACCCAGGGGTGAAAGACATCACTGAGCATCCTCAGAGGCTGCCCTCCTGCCCCTGAGCCAAAGCCAGCAAACCTTCAATGCATTAGCAATTAAAAGTGAGAGGGACAGAGCAAAAAAATCCCCTCACAGATTGTTCTAGGAAGGGAATAAAGCAGCAGAAGCAGCAAAGGGTGGTTAATGTAGATTTTGCAGCAGATACTGATACAGGACAATTTTCCCTTTTCCTTTCTGGTTTAGAAATAAGACTTTATTGACACAGAGATAGTCCTGGAAAAGCTAATGAAGCACAAAGCTGAGTGAAAGAAATCATGTGCAGGGGGCTCTTCACAGCAACTTTTTTCTCCTTGTGTTTTTTACCCATTAAATAAAGAGGAATTAACACCTGTGCCTGCTTCACCAAGCCATTTTTCAAGTTTGCAGTTGTTCTCAGGGGAATCAAAGTGACAGATTTATGCAAAGCTGGAGTTCAGATCTTTTCTTGCCCTGGAGCAAGGCTTTTTATCCAATGCTTTTCTTCCCCCCTTCATGAGGGGATGGTGAAGAGGAGGAACGCTTCACACTTGAAAATAGCAAAGGGAAAAATACCTTTCACAGCTGTTCCTAGCAGCTGGGATGTATTTAATCCGAGCTAGAGATTAACATGCATCTCTGTGAAAGAGACGTTCTCCTTCCCACTGTGGGTGTGTTATCACGGGTAGATGCTCCTAAGTGTTTCAGACTCCTGCAAGACCTCAGGCTACGCCTGTGCCCAGCTCAAGCCTCTGCACAGCAGGGTGTTTAGCAGGGTGTCTGCAGAAGGCAACTCTTTTCTTACCATTGCATTGGAGATGGGAAGGGCAGAAAAGGTCTTTGCTGCTGTCTCCACAAGTGCTACATGCACAGAGGCACAAATGCGTAATAGTAAATCTTCAGTAGCACAAGAATGCCTGCTGTCTTCTAGGCCAGAGTGCTGAGCTCTGAGCAAGAGGACTTTGCCCTCCTGGAAAACAGTTATGTTTTATCATCGCTGCTTAGTGTGAAAACGTCCTGAAGTCCCCGGTCCTTGAGTCATTAAGGATTTGAGAGGCAGAACTTAAGTTAATGGATGTGAATTCCCAATCCCATTATGTAGTAAGAAGCTGGTACCTATGTGACCTACCGGCTTGTTTCTTTGGTCCTCGAATCTCATGCTTCCAGTCAATCTCCTTCTTCATCCCCACCTTTCAGCCATATATGAAGGTCTTGCCCTTACTCTTAGGAACAGTCTTCAACACACGCAAAACAAGACATTACTCTTTAGCTTTCCCGGGTGAAGAAACCATTGAAACCCTTTTCCATAGAAATCTACCTAAGATAAACATGCAAAATGTGATGTTTGAGCCCAAACACTTAATTCAATCCAAGGAGGACCCAGGCAATATAATTGAGCAAATCATTTGCTTTGGCTGCTGCTGCTGGATTTTATAGCCTTCGCTGGCTCCAGCACCACCTGCTTGATACATGTGTCCACCACCCTAAAGTGGTGGCCAGGGGACAGCTGTACAGTCCTTGACACATGGCCTTGTGCTAGGTGCTGTGTGTCAATGCACTGACCTACTGCACAGCAGCATAGCCATCAGCCTCTCCCAGTGACTTATCAGCAAGCTGCACAGATGCATTTCACTTAGCAAAGGCAGGTGCAGAGCTAGAGCTGTTTCCTCCTCGGCAATGCTGATGGTGTGTCTTTTTCAGCCTGAAGAGAGAGACCTCAGAACAGCTTCCAGTATCTGAAGGGGGCTACAAGGATGCTGGAGAGGGACTCTTCATCAGGGACTGTAGTTATAGGACAAGGGGTGATGGGTTCAAACTTAAACAGGGGAAGTTCAGGTTCAATATAAGGAAGAAATTCTTTACTGTGAGGGTGGTGAGGCACTGGAATGGGTTGCCCAAAGAAGTGGTAAATGCTCCATCCCTGGCAGTGTTCAAGGCCAGGTTGGACAGAGCCTTGGGTGGCATGGTCTAGTGTGAGGCGTTCCTGCCCATGGCAAGGGAGGGTTGGAACTTTCCAGCCCTAACCATTCTATGATTCTATGTGGGAGCACCTCATTGACAAGGAAGTCAGGAGCAGGACTAAATGACCAAGAGTTACCTGTCAGCAGCATGTCCCTCATCACCAGTGATGAAATCACTTGTGGCATTGCTAACCCAGCTCCTGGGGTAAGAAACTCCCCTGAGTGAGGAGGACAGTTTTCTCAGCAGCAAGCCAGCAGATTGCCATGAGAGCAGGGAGCAATCTCCAGTGAGGGAGCTGGAGCAGAGCCCATTTCACTACCTTGGCCACGTGCCTGGGTTAACTCACTGGGTTAAGTGTTGCTGAGGGCAGTTTCTAAATCCAAATAAACCTCCTGCACAATGGTAGGGGGAGACATGCTTTCATGTTTTCAGCTGCTCTGGGAATAGAGAGACTGTGTGAAAGAGCTGGAAAGCCCTACTAAAAAGGGATACCAGAGAAGAAGAAGACCTGCTCAAGGCAGAAACATACAGAGCCCATATGCTAACGGAGCAGGGCCTTTAGTGATTTAGTGAGGTTTGTCTAGATGGTTTGACACCATTTCAGTAGCAGCTAAAGAGAGAAACTTGCTGCCTGGTGGCAAAAGCTGGTTTTACAGAAGGGCTGGCAGCTCCTGTGGGGAAATGCAGGTGGCTCTGATGCTTTTTGTATTGAAAACATCCAGCCAGGGGCCACATAAAAAATAAGGCAGGATTCTAGTTGCTCCTTTTCCCCTTTCTGGTCCCTATTTCTACAGTTTTACCCTATGATCTTCAATGTTATCTTCTTAATTCCTTCATTCACTCCTTCTTTGCCTAAAATTTTCCTTGACCAGCTGCTTCCTTCACTGCCCCTTCCCTCCTGTCCTATGTATTTTCCTTTTTTTCCTTTCACTTCCTTTTCCTTTGCCCCACTGTTTCTAGCTTTCTTTTTGGGCTTTGCATCCTTATGTTTGTCTCAGCTCTCACGTTATTTCCTATTCCTTTCATCTGTGGGATTTCATGGGGTCCAGGGGCACTTCTCACCCCTGTATTAGTTTACAGTAATCTACCACTCAGTAATCTGTGCTGCCTTTCCCCTCTTTTCCACAAGTCTTCCCCTCCAGATGAGCTTGCACGTCTGTGTACAAGGTACACATACATCCTAAAGCCGGGAGGCTGGAGCCAAACCCAGTTCAGGGAACTGCCAGCTTCAGTGGGATTCCCTCCTCCAAATCCAAAGCTCCTTGGGTGTTGGATGAGTCATGGACGGCAGCAGTTGTGTTCCTTACCACAACCCTGGAAAAAAGTCACTCCACTGATTTGAAAGAATGTGCTGAAAATGAAGCATATGCTGTCCTACAATGGAAAACACTAAGTTAAAATGCTTTAAATTGCATAAAGGTGTTTTGTAAGAGAACTGTCATATACCATGAGACAATTTTACTGGAAAGAACATCCACAATGAAAAACAAATCACACTGGCCTTTGCTATAGGTCTTAAAAGCAGGTTTCTTTGGGGTTATGGAGACTCATTTGCCCTCCAGCAGTGGAAGAATTAAGATGTTATGTTTAACATAAACAAGAGAGGTTTAATCCCAAATCCTCATGTGAGAGCACTTTGTGTTCTCTTAAAACTCCAGTAATTCCCTAAGCAAGATGGACAGTTGGGTTATTTTAGACTCAGAAAGAGAAGGGGAGGGACAGAAGGGACATCAAAAGGAATTAACTCATCAAAGTAAGAGCCCAGTTGTGAAAACTGAGCAGAGTGTGAGTTCAATTGCATTAACTATACATGGCACCAAGATCACTCATTATAAAATGCCTTTCTTCTCTTTGCTTTTTAATCAGGCAGACTGCAAGAAGAAAGGTTGGTCTGATGGGACCACTGCAAGCCAGGGCTGTGCAACCTCCTGGACACACACACACATATTCCTGCTCAGTCAGTAATCATAGAATCATAGAATGGATTGCATTGGGAAGGACCTTAAGATCATTCGGTTCCAACCCCCTGCCATGGGCAGGGACACCTCACACTAGACCCTGTAATACTGTGAAAGTCATGATTCAAGTTACCATATGGGCTCTACACAAGATCCTTTGAGGTCAGATGCTGGTTTCTGAGGGATGAAGGAAAGAAAAGGTGGTTCCTGTGGACGGAAGGCTGCACAAGAATGTTGTCTCTGATGACCTGCCTCTGCTGGGTCTAGCTGCACATCATCTCTGCACTCAGCAAAGATAGAGCGGGCTTTGGTGTGGGAGCATCTTGGTCCTTTTGAAAGGCAACCTATTCCCCAGCTCAGGTTTCTCCTGCTGCTCTTCTGCCTGGGGCTCAGAGAGAAGGCAGCCCCGGCAATCTGTTATCATTCAGCAGCATTGAATTCACTTCAGAAGAAGACAGTATCTGAAGGGGGCCTATAGAGATGCTGGAGAGGGACTCTTCATTAGGGACTGTAGTGACAGGACAAGGGGTAATGGGTTAAAACTTAAACAGGGGAAGTTTAGGTTGGATATAAGAAGGAAGTTCTTTCCTGTTAGGGTGGTGAGGCACTGGAATAGGTTGCCCAGGGAAGTTGTGAATGCTCCATCCATGGCAGTGTTCAAGACCAGGTTGGACGAGGCCTTGGGTGGTATGATTTAGCATAAGGTGTCCCTGCCCATGGCAGGGGGGTTGGAACTGGATGATCTTAAGGTCCTTTCCAACCCTAACGATTCTATGATTCTATGTTACCTCCAGCTGTGATTCAAAAGTTAAAACAGATTCAACCCTTTTAAAACATAGGAAGGAGAGGGAAGAAATCCAGAGAACTTGAACTGCTGAAGCAAAGACAAGACATTTCACATATCCATCTTTTTATTTCTAGACAAGAAGCCAAAATCCTACAGTATCACTGCTGCATTAGGACTTGGACACGTACAACATCCCTGTCATCATTGCTCTCTTGTGATCCTGAAGCTGGAGAGACCCAGTGTGAGTGTATGGGTGCTGGAGAGATGATAGTTGTGGCCCAAAACTAGGCCAGAATTGCCTTCACTTGACTGAGCTATGATCGAAGTGTACTTTGCCAATACAATTCATCTTCAGAAGTGACCAGTGAAAACAGCTGCATACTTATGTAATGATGCTGGCCACCAGAATAAATGTGGTTCTTGGCTAAAGGAGCAGAAAACCAAATAGAAGTGGTGGTGCTGCCCTCTTCATGGCTTTTTGAAGACCAGGCTAAGCAATCTGGAGCTCATCTCTGCAGGAGAAAAGGATGTTGAAAATCTGGAGCAACCAAGCTACAGCAGTGAGTGATAGTGTGGTCATCTTGCCACCAAGAGAAAATGTATTCAATTTATTCAAGGGAGTGCTTGGTTGCTGGATTATAAATGCCAAAACTGGGTGAGAATTTCTAATAAGAGGGTTATTTTATTCTTCACATAGCAGTCTACAGCCCAAAGTGATCCTATGGCTGGCAGCTGAAGCCAGGCAAATCCAGAATGGGAAAAAACATCAGATTTTAGCATTGAAACAGCTCACCAAAGGATGAACTTGCTTCTCCCCCATCTGAGATTTTAAAGTGAGAGTTGGATGTCTTTCTTTCTCTTTCTTCTTCTAAATTCAGTTATGATCTTGAAGTCCCTGGGTGAAATTTTCTAGGCAGTGTAGTCAGATTAAACTTTCCTACTGATCCCTCTGCCTTTAAAACCTCATATTTATAAGAAGTGCCTTTACCTGGACCAGAGTTTACCCCACGGACAAGGGAATTAGATATCTTTATTCATTCCTCCACAGCTGTGGGAATGATGTGTTTAGCTATTTTTCCCATCGCCAGTTGTGTCAGTGGTATGTGTTATGCAGATGTTTGTCTAGTGGGAGCTATGCTCAGACAGCACATTTCACATTGATTTATGAACAGACTTCTGAGCACAGCAGCTTCTGGCCTCTGCTGACTTGGGCTGGAATCAGCTTGCACGTTTGTTGCTATTCTTGTTCTTGGACCTGCAGTCATGGCTCAAGAACCAGATGCTGCAGAAATGCAGAGCCAAGGAGGTCCTTTCCTCAGAGCTCTGCTGCAAGATCCTGGCATGAAGCAAGGGGTGAGTGTGGGTAGCCACAGGGAAAAGATGGGTGGTGAATGTGATCAGCAGTGATGAAACAGTGTGTAGCAACAAGTTGAGTATACAGTGGTGGGCTGAGGCTGGGTTTGCCCAGGAAAAGATGCTGTAGGACTCAAGACATGAGAGAGAAGAGCCTGCACAGCATCTTCATTGTGTGAATGGTAGGAAAGGCACATCTGGGAGTAGCTACATGGGAAGTGTCTACACAGAGGAAAGTCTATGGTGAGGATGACATCCAGGTTATAAGTCCAAGTGATGGATAAGAGGAGGTGATAGTACCAGTGATTGAGAAAGGGAAAAGGGTCATTTGGAGTGAGAGTAACATTGCCCCTTCAGCCAAGACGGGTCTGAGACGAGGGTCAGATGTCCTCAGGTGTCAGGGAGCCAGGCTGAGACAGGAGTTTTGGTAGGAGGACACAGTTAACAGGACATACATCCATATCCAAATAAAACTGCATTTACATGGATGAGATTTGTCAGAGAACAGGGCAGAGGCGGATGTGAGCAGGGCCCTGTGGGCACAGTGAGGGCAGGATGGGGAAGATGGACAGTGGGGATGGGTAAAGGCTGAAGGGACCAAGAAAGGGCAGAAAGATGCAATGAAGGTGTAGGAAAAGATCTCCATCCATACTAACTCTTTGATCTTTCTACTTACTTTTCCATTCAGATTCTAAATGATATTACAGAAAGTCTTTTTACTGCTATTCATCCAGTAAATCTTTGCAAACTCTTTGAGACAGCAGTGTACTCCCGGCTGATCCCCAAAGACAGATCCTGTTTCTTCATAGTCATAAGTACTCTTCAAAAGAACGAACCATGCAGAACTACAGGGAACTTTGGCCAGGGAATATGATTGTTTTAAAATAGGAATCACCCAGCCCAGATATTAATACAAAAATAGTTAAATATGATGGACCAAATGTCAAGCCATGAGAAGAGAGACTCACATTAGAGAAGCACAGACAGAAGGAGCTAATGAAAACATCTCTTCCTATGGGGACACTAACACAGCCGAATATTCATATTTGTAGGTCGCCCAGTTTAAACAGCAGTGAGAAAGAAATCTGGGTTTGATATTTTGTACCCTGGACTACAAAGGAATCACTGTGGATATATATAAAAGACAGCTGGGCCGAGGTTTCAGATCACCTACATGCATTAGAAAGGCAGCCAGCCAGAGCACAGTGCTCTCGTTTAATACCTGAACTAATGCTCAACTCTGTCAATGCTTTAAAGGCAAAGAGAGAGGCAGAACAGAGCTATGTTTTATTAAAAGGCTTAAATCACCTGTATCACCACAGAAACAGCAAAGAAATGACATGGCCTGGAGGGAGAAACCTTTGGTTTAAATATCTGTAAAGATGAGTGGAAGAGAAAGAAGAGCTCCTGCCTGGGAAAGCCACAGGCCTGTCTCAAAGTCTACAAGGCTATCTAAACTGAGGAAGTGAATGAATAACTGTGGCACATGCATGAGTGGCTGAAAGCGCAGCCTGAGCAGTAATTGGCTCTATTGGTGCTCCTCTGATTAGCTGGTTTTGGCTACAGCACTCATCAGGCCCACGCTGAGTTCACAGCACTGAAGTATTTATGCTGCACTAGAGAACATCTCAGATCAGCTGGTGGATCCCTGCTGAGAAACAGCAAATACAGTTCTGAAGGATGGGGTCTCCAGGGAGGGGTTTTAAATCTTTATTTTGTCTCAGTAATTCCTTGTTGTTCAAGGCTGGAAGAGAAAGGACTCCCAGAATGGATTCAGATGCTCCCACTACTTTTCACTACCGCAGAGATGAAGGAAGAGAGAAGAAAACTGATGGTGCTTCTGTGGAGAGAAATTTAGGAACAAAATTACGTTGATCACTGTGATCTGAATGTAGACAGCTCTAATTCTTTGCTAAAATACTGATCTGGAAGTTGTAATGAACTCAAATAGCCCAAGGGACCAGCTTGTCACAATGGAAAGGGAAGGTTCCACACCGATGAATCTCTGGAGAGCCTCCCAACAGGGAGAAGTTTCAGCTGGCAACATCTGGCAGAGGGCACAGGAGAAGAGGAGCCACCCCAAGCCCTTACAGTGACACTGGGCACAGCACCAGCAAACATGAATGGAAGAGAACAAAGGAACTGGGCACTTTCAAGTGAGAGGTATGTGGAGACGTGCTTACCTATAGCATCTGCTCCAGAGTTATGGCCAAGACCTCCTTGCAGCTCATTCAGCTCTGAAGTCAGTTCCATGGACGCCTGCTGTATCTTCAAAATGCCTACAAACCCACTCTGCAGAATGATAGAGAAATCCACAGAACATTAATTACTGCTTCCACACTCTGGTGATCACCACCAAAAAGTGAATTGGAGAGCATCAGCCAGTGCCAGCATGCACAATCTACTGTGTTTCCTGAGGTGCCTCGCTGATTCAAACACTCTTGTCAAATATAACCAGTATAATGTAGACTATTAGAGGTGGCATTAAGGAAAGACACATCCATATTTTGGGTTTGAGCTGCTAGTGTGTCTCCCTTTCTCACCCTGCTCTTCCCAGCTGTTATGTGGTGGAATCATCAAAATGTGAGAAATAGCAGAGCGGATCACATGAGGTATTTCCAAAGTGGTTTGAGAACAGTTGACCATTATTCATTTGCAACATGCAGTAAACAGAGATGAAGCTTAAATATGAGGCTCTTCTACCCAGAAGATATCAATCTTATATGTATACACAGAAGAAACAGTAATTGCTGTTTCACACAAGCTAAGAGTTTGGTTTTCAGGATAAAACCAACCAACCTATGGTTACAGACATCAGCTTCTTGGGCTCTATCTCCTCAGCAGCAGTGCTGGAGTAATAACACACCTGTATACTGCTGCCCACACCTAACACGAAATTCACCTTGCTGAAGCTGCCAGGCTTTGGCACCAGTCATTCCCCTTGGAGAGACCATAAAGGGACATGGAGAGACCACCTTGGGTGGGCTGAACATCTCTCCCATTACTTGCAGCACTTCCCTCTTTCTTCACATGACCCCCATGTGTTTTACAGCATCTCAAAGCACCATTTCCCAGCAGAAACCTGAGGTTCGTACCAAGGCTTCCATGTACACTGGGTTGCACAAAATACCTCCAGGATTGACCCAGTTTTGCCTGAAGTCAACATCAGCCTCAATTTTCAGTTTTCCTCCTTAGTTATTATGTATGTATTTCAAAACTACTGAATGAGGCACTGAAACCTCCTGTACTGCAGTTTAGTCCCTTCAGGTCCAAAGCAAAAGCAGTATTTCCTGGTTGTTAACATTAAACAAACATTGAGCTTGTTGGTCTGTTGGGATTTCTGGAGGATATTTGCTTTGAAAAATCCTTTTCAGGATTGTCTTTTAAGCTTTTTTTTCCTGGAATTTGGAAGCAATTTGTTGATCTTCAAGAAATAGATGGTACATATAAAACAAGTGAGAAAAGCTCTCTGGAGTTTTTGTTAGGGAGAAAAAAAAACCAAATCTGTTTCTGTTTTAGCAAGAACCAACTTGGCTGTTCTTGCATAAAGTTGTGATGAAATACACTGTAGGGCCATGCCATCATGAAATATGAATATTACCTTTGTTAAACTCTCTAGCACACAGCTGAATCTGATGAAACTACTCCAGAGGGAAACACTTGTCACAGCAGAAGTCTTGTCTCACTGTTATGAGGTTGGCTCAGCATTATTTAACTCATGATTCCTTATTTCACACATGATTTTGCACACCAGCCGTGCACGAGGAACCCCCTATACCAGACACAGCACAACTGTGGAACGAAAAGGCACCTCCTGCTCCCAGATGGAGATAGACAGAGGATGAGATTAAAGGAACCAAGCAGGCTGTGCTGTCAAGCTCTTAGTAACCATCACAGCTAGGGAGAGATTTAACTGTTACCATATCTCCATGATATTCCTATTCTAACAAAAGTTTTTAAGCATCCCATGCCCATTCCTGACTGTCTCATTCCCAGTGAGCTCACATGTGGGAAAAGGAGAATACTGAAACAGAAAGACGCTGTTTCAGGCTGTGAGTGGTGCGGGGCCCCTAGGGAGGCTCCACAGCAATTTTTATGCAGGGACAGGGTCAGTCTCAGAGCCATCTGCCAAAAACATGGAGAAGCCCAAAGCTGCCTCAGCCAGTTCTAGGAGGAAACAGCAAAGTATTTCGAGACCTGACTTTTCACTTTTACCTTGCTCACCAGATACATTTCGAGAAACAGTTGCAGGCTGCTGGGAAGAGCTGCTCTCCTCCGCTTGCAAGTTTTATCCATCCTCATTTCAAACGGGAGAAGTGGGTGATGAGGGTTACAAGCTTCCCAACACACACATGTATCTTCGTTTTCCCAGGCTCTTCGTTCCCAGCAAGAGCTGTGGGCACCGCACTGCTCCCCTGGGACCCTTGTACTGCCGTCACCCTACGAGCCACCCCTTGACCTCTCACAGCCCTGGGTGCCACCAGTGCCCACCCTGGGGCTGGGGGGTGCCCGGCAGTAGCTACCCTCACCCCGGAGTGTGCTTTGCCCTTCTCATCTCTTCTCTTTTCCATCTTGCCTCTTTGCACTCTCCGTCCCGTCCATCTCTTCCCTTCGCATTCCTCCTCTTTGCAACTCTGCTTTTGCATCCCTCCCCTTTTATCCCTCCCTTTTCACCTCCCCCTTTGCACCTCTCTCATTTACATCCCTCCCCTTTGCCTCTCTGCCCCCTTCGCATCTCTGCCTTTCCTCCACTCTACTCCTCGCGTCTCTGCCCCTGCACACCCCCTGCCCCCAGACCCTTCGCATCTCCGCGCCCTTGCCCGCTCGGATCTCAGCCCTTTGGGCATCCGAACTCCAGGCACCCTCCATTCTCCGCCCCCTTTCCTTTACCCCCCCCCCCCCCCCCCGCGCTTTCCCTTCTTTGCCCCTTCGCATCCCCGCCTCGCTCCCTCCCTGCCTCCTCCACTGCAGTCCTTCCTCACCTCTCCCCCACCTCCCATCGTGTGTCCCGTCCCCCCCTTCAATCCCTCTCCAACCCCTTTGCCCTCCTTTGCCCCCGTCCCGCGATGCCGCCGCGGCTGCTGCCGCTGCTGGCGCTGGGGCTGGCGCTGGGGGGCCGGGCAGGCGGCGGAGGGGGCTGCCAGTTACCGGCAGAGTGGCGGCCGCTCAGCGAGGGCTGCCGCGCCGAGCTGGCCGCGATCATCGTGTACGCGAAGGTGCTGGCGCTGCACCCAGACGCTTACGGAGCGTACAACTACCTGCCCTGGCAGCGGGACCCCCCCGGCGGCCCGCAGCAGGCAGCGGGCGGGTTATTCTATTCCGCCGAGATCGAGCTGCTGTGCGACCAGGCGTGGGGCAGCATGCTGGAGGTGCCCGCCGGCTCCCGCCTCAACCTCACCGGCCTCGGGTACTTCTCCTGCCACTCGCACACCGTCATGCAGGGCTACGCTTATTTCTTCTTCCTCCGGTGAGTCCTGTGGTACGGCTATCTGGAGGGGGGGTGTCGGTATCTCCGCACTAGGGACGGTTCACTTCAGACCACTCTCCCCACAGCACTTGGCGCTTCCACCCATAGTTTCATCGGGAGAGAAAGAGCCAATTCTCAATCTAATATTCCATCATTCAGGGAGCCGCTGTTGAGTAGCTCCTGGGTGCTGCTGCTTTTGTTTTTACGAGGGGACTGGAGAGAAACCAGTGCCTCTTTGCCGAAGTTTGGCGTGGAACTTTAAAACTCATTGCCAAGTACTCACCCGATAGCTTCCTCCTGGCTCTCCCAAGCCCCAGCCAAATCCCGACGTTGGGTTCATCGAAAGAATAAGAGAACAAACCACAGTATGGGAGCAGAGCCATCGCTGTGACCTTTCAATCCAAGAGTGTTTGCGAAATACTATTGAGTGGCTTGTTTTGAAAGATATTTGTATATTCTTGCACTGGGTGTGTAATGAAGCACAACTTGATGCTGCCTAATCCTTAGTCTCTAGCAATAGCTTTAAACATGTCTTACAGAAGTTATTTATTGACTTGACTTGTTATACAACTCTTGGTTCAGGAGAGACCTGGTTCATAACTGAGGTGCTCAGGACACTGTTAGTGTAAATAAGTATTAAAGGGCAGAAGTATTGGGCTCAAAAGTCTTCATAGGTTTGGGCTTACTAAGTCCTAGTTTTTTTTCAGCTATAGATAATTTCTGTAGTGTAGGGAGATGTTTGCTGTGCACCTCTTCAGGAGTCCCCATCCCTGGCAGTGTTCAAGGCCAGGTTGGACAGGGCTTGGAGTAGCCTGGTCTAGTGAAAGCTGTCCCTGCCCATGGCAGGGGGTTTGGAACTAGGTAAGCTTTAAGGTCACTTCCAACTCAAATCAGTCTGTGATTCTATGATACGATTCTATGACTGTTTGAAGGAGTACTTAAATTCTGGGATCAAGGGCAAAGTGATGGAAATTGAATAGGAACCATGGGCTACAGTATAGCCTCATGCGTGGTGGTTCACTGATGCCTGCAGGGTGGTATGAGCCTGTTTAAGTCCTTACTGCTGCTGCCTGATCCAGTCCCCTGTCTTGGCAACTAAGTACCCATGAGAACTGAGTACCACATGCCTGCTGAAAGTCCATCTTAGTGACTTTGGTGGCACTTGTTGAGCAAGGCTGAAGTACGAGGGGTGACTTCTGTGGGAGAGAAAGTGCTGCTCAGCCTCACTGCGCACTGCCCATGCAATTTGTGTTTCAGAATGGATGAGAACTACATCCTCCTGCCACACGGAGTCAACTTCCAGGAGGCGATTTTCCCGGACACCATGGAGAACAGAAGGATGTTTGCCAGCCTTTTCCAGTTTTCTAACTGCTCCCAGGCACAGCATGTGTTGAGCTTCTCCAGTGACTGGGAGATTCAAGAGGACAACCGGGTAAGTGATGTATTTGCTCTCCAGTAATTGCTTTCCAAGTGGGCACAGGCATTCCTGTGTTGTTTGCAAACATATATATGTATGAATGCAGAGCAGAGATCCCTGATTTTCCTGGTCCTTTGGTAATGCACTGGTGGGGAGATGCTAAACTCTGCTTTCAAAGCTGATCTCTGTGTTAGCTCTTTAGCTTCCCATGGACCCGAGCAAAGCTTGGCATCAACCTGTTCAAGAGCAATAGGCTGGAAACCAGTATTGTTTGTGGTCCTGTCCTACTCTACCCAGGTCATTCCTGGGTTTGCTATCTCTAGACCCCATACTTTAGCTTCAGCTGAATTGCTCAGGAGCAAAGCTTTGCTTTTGTACTTCTGTGTTCATCTCATGTAGTGATAGCAGTGCCTGGACCATGACAGACTGTAAGGGATTATTCTTGTCTAGCTCCACATAACATCTACTGAACTAATCACCCTAATCTGTCTTTGTAGTGGCTGGGGAAAAATAGATTCTTGAGGGCATGTTTCGTCTGCATGATGAGGGCAGGGTTTGTCTGACCAATGCCAGTGCTTACTTCTGAAGGAGCTGAATGAAATGCTTCTTTCTCCTCTCAAGGGAGGCCACAGCAAACACTCCAGGCGATCCTCCTTAACAAAGTACATTTCTAGTATGGAAAGTCCAATGATGCCCATTGTTAGTGGCTTCTGAGCCCCTTTATGGGGCTGTAGTGTGTGTGATAAATGCAGGATTTTAATAAATACTCCCTGGGCAGAGAGAAGCAACCTGCAATTATGTGTGTGCACGTTCTGGATGGGCATATACATTAGCAGCAGTGGAACTTGGTGAGCTGTTCTAGTGCCAAGCTTTGTTTTATGAGGCTGGTGATTTCTACTGGTAGCAGGGAACATTTTAAGCATCCCTGCAGGTTAGGATGGACAGGACATGTGTCATCACTTGAGTCTTCTGTGGCCCCATCCAAGGCACAATGTTTACATATGGTAGCAGATGCATTAGTGGCTTATTTCGGGGGATGGATGGAGGGAGGTCAGTAACTGACTGAGCACTTTCCTGCCACCAGCTGCCTGACCACCAGTATACAAAGTCTGAGCTGCTTCATGGCTATGTGGCCAGTGAGACAATCCACTCCTTAGAATGCCCCATGAGAGAGTGTTTTCCCACTGCTGATATTTTGGGGAGAGAGGAGGGAACCGTGATGTTTAAGTATGTATTTGGGGACAGCAGCAGGAATTGATGTTTAAGAGAAAATGAATCATCCTACAATTAGATCACAGAGCTATAATCCTCACTGGGCAAGGAGGGGGAGGCAGAGAGCCCTGGTCCCAGCCCTGCCTCCTCCCTGCCAGCCCGCAGGCTCTCCAGTGCCCCGACCAATATTTTTGGCAAGTAAAGGTGCTGCTGCTGCCAAATCCACTGATTTTGCTGTGGGGAAGCAAAGTGGATTTGTGGGGGATCACCAGCTCCAACTCCCAGTGTCTGCTTATGATGCCTCTGTGCTGTTTATTTAGCCAGATGTAGGGGATCCTGATGGGTTGCTGCTCACTTACGCCAGCAGTGACCCTCTCCAGTTGACTTTAATGGCAATCACCAGGCAGAAACCCCCAGGGTAAGTTGCAGCAACCAAATGCATGTGCATCAACGTGCATTTCAGCTGTTGTGCTCTTTGACCCCCCGCAGCTGTGAGCAGAACAGGGGGGATTAGAGCTGCTGCTCACACAGACCAGGGCTGGGGGCTTTACATATGTCAACACCCCACCATTGAGTGAATGAATTCAGCACAACTGATGGGCACTTTGTCTCCTCTTCAGAATGGAAAGTAAAAGCTTCCTCTGCACCAGTTAAAAATAGTTTAGGATGACTGTGCTCCCATTCAGCTCCTGCATCTGTGTTTGCACAGACAAGCGCCGGCTCCTGGCGCCTGTGTGCCCCAGCCTGGGAAGGAGATGGCATTTCTGGCTGCCGTGGTACTTGGAATTTGTTCCTCAGCTCTTCCCAGTGCAGATACCCATGTACAGGGTGCATTTTGCTTCACTCTTTGCCTTGTTGGTGACTTTCCCGATTGTCACTGCATCTGCTCACATCCCATCACAGGGCAAGCAGTTTCCATCTCCAAATGCACTTGGCTGAGCTGGCTCTAGAGCCAAAGCCTGTGACATGCTCCAGCTTTGTGGCACACAAAGTAAGCATTGCTTGGAGCATTATTCTTGAAGCTCTTTGGAAAAGGGGCTCTTTGGGAACCCAAGGGGGTCTTCTCAGATAGGGTCAAGTTGTGGAGAGCTTGGGTAGAGAGGCAGGGGCTTCAGATGAAGCTCATTCTGCTGTGTACCGATGTTAACTTGCTAGTTAAAACCCATCACAGATGTTTAGTGCAATCAGAGGGAAGAGATGGGGACACTGAGATCCTCAAAGCAGAAGGCAGCTGAGGCTAAAATCTGGTTCCAGGAGTTAGTAGGTAAGGTCCTTCCTCTAGGGCTTGGCACTGCTCTGTGCAGGGACATCTTACAGTGCGCCCAAGTAGGTCTGGAGTACAGGAATGATGAAATCTCCAGTTTACAGCTGTATCATGTACTCCAAAAGACTCTTTGCATCCCTGTCTTGCTTGTGGCCTTGTGCACTACTCGGTATATTTTTGGAGTGGACATTTCAAGGGAGAATTTGGTGCTGGAAGCATTTGCAATTGCAATGAATAATCTGTGTTTGTAGATCTGGGGTGCTCAGCCAGAAGGTGAGAGGGCCC